ACAGGGCTCACCAGATACCTGCATCACTCTCCCGTCCTCCTAGGCCCAGACACGGCTCACCAGGTACCTGCATCACTCTCCCATCCTCCTAGGCCCACACAGGGCTCACTAGGTACCTGCATCACTCTCCCTGTGCTCCTAGGCCCAGACAGGGCTCACTAGGTACCTGCATCACTCTCCCGTCCTTGCCCCGGTACAGTGTGTAGAGCTGGTATGCTCTGAACTCATGGGGAGGGGGCGGGGGGGAGCATCGGTGCCTGGGCCTCTTTTTAGGATGATTATGTGCATGCGCGTCCTTCTGGTGTCCAGGCTGTTGGTCTGCTGGTGGGGTGGGGTCAGAAAACGCTGACACCTGTGGGAGAGGAAGGGACAATCCCCCTGAGCACCATGACATCCGCAGGACTGACACCCAGCCCACCGCTCCCATCTTATTCACGGCTCCCATCTTACTCCCGCCTTGCTCGGTCTCATGGCATTCCCCTCTCAGCAGCCCACGTCAAAAGAAATCTATCAGCACACTAACCGTGTGTTTGAAGTTAGCCAGATTTAAGTTCTGTGCTCTGGCTCCCAACCAGCAAGCCAAGCAAAGTGGCGTTCTAGCTATTGGGTATGACGCTATCCCAGGGCCCTCTGCCAACCTGTCTCCCAGCCCTCCCCTGGCTGCTTTCACAGGCCTCCTGACCTTGGGCCTTGACTTTCTCTGCCTGTTGTCCTTTGCTCTGGGCTCTGGGGAGGTGGACAGGAAATCTTCTCTGGCCTCTTCTTTTCTGGGTACAGCCTGTTCACTGCTGGGGGTGTCTCCTGCTGAGACACTTCCCTACAGAGGAAAGAAAAAAAGCCCAGAAACCAGTTCTAATTGCCCCCCTCTGCCTTTTTCTGTAATGGTGTAAAATGCTGTTTGCAAGACTGCATCCACGAAAGGACCCGTGGGACTCTGAGCCAACGACAAACAGGGAACACTGCCTGGTGGTTGACATTGCACATCTTCCGTTTTCCCAGTTGCTGGAATATTTGGCTTTGACTCTATTAGGTGCCAAACTAAATATAGTCTTGGGTCTAATTCTATATTCTAGAGCTTCGGGAACCTACCACAAACACTTCAGCGTTAGAGATTTTTTGATTTTTTTTTTTTGCATTTCAACAACCGCAACCACAACAAAAATACCATTCATTCTTTGAGCTTGGACCTCACAATTCATAATGGAGTATGGGAAATCTCTGAAATGAAAAAACATCACATTTCCACTCCTTATAAGAGCTTTTACAAATTAATATATACAATACACCCACAGGAACTTAATCAGAGTTACAATGCCTTAACCCTGGACACGGATAAGATTTTGAAATAGAATAATGAGTACATGGTATAAAATTTTATGGACCAAAAGTTGTCTTTATATCCTAGCCTTTTTCGTCCTGGGAGAGCTGAAAGGCAGAGTTCGTTCCAAGACTATGGTGTCTAGTCGTGCAGGCTGTCCCCATACAAGGGCACCTAGCAGAGGGAGCTGAAATCCAGCTCGGGCTCGCTTTACCGTATGTGCCCGAGCAGGGCTGGGCTGCCCAGGGGGCATCTTCTTCTCAGTTCTCACAGAGGAATCACATGGGCTAACACAGCCTCAGTCCATTCCCTAAGCAAAAAGGGAGGAAGCAACCTAGGCCAGTGGTGGTCAAACTTTAGTCCACATCAGGGTCACCCGCGGGGCTCGTTCAAACACAGCTTGCTGGGCCCCCTCCCAGAGTTTCTGATCCAGTAGGTCTGGGGTGAAGCCCCAGACTCTGCATATTTAACAAGGTCCCAGGTGACACAGTGGATGCCACACGTGGCAAACCACTGCCCCATACAATTAAGGGCACAGGGTCTGAGGCGGAGCTGTCCGCATGGTGGTGACAAGGCCATAGAAAGAGGGGGCTGGGAAAGACGGGCGAACAGGCAGACGATCTGAACCTTGGAGGAGTGGAGGACAGGGAGCTGAAGAGAAAGCACGGACGGCAGTTTGAAGAAGCAGTGGGAAGGAGAGACAGAGGAGGGCATGGCCGCTGCCACTCGAGCCCAGAAGCAGCAGCGCGCGTTTCCCACCCTCTGGAAGGGGGTGAAGTTGGGGAGGCGCGGGAGGGCTACCCCCCACCTTGCTTTGTGCCACCTCATCTCTTGGCACAGACTGAGCTCTCCTCTCTTCCTTGAGCCTCTCTCTCTTTTTCCTCAGGCTTCGCCCACGACTGAAGCGCAAGACCTGAAGGAGGCAAGAGGCAAGATTACAAACCACTGGCGTGCGCAGCATCACTGTGATGGACTCGGCCTTGGACCTGGTGCTCTGATCTAATGGAGCTTCCAGCCTAGTGGGAGAGACCAAGCGTTCACATCAACAAGCACTTCCAGACTGTCTGCTAGGCTTCCTAGGTCCTGCGCCGGGCTCTCTAGGGACCCAGAGAGGAGAAGCACATTATCCCTGATCTCCAGTAGCTTACGGTCTAGGACGAGAACAGGCATTTATGTGCCGGGCCACGGCCACCGTATAGGTGTGTGTAGGCTGTGTATGGCTGAGCTCCAGGGAATGCCACTCACAGAGACTAGGACAGGAATGGCATCCCCTGGAGTGGTCAAACGTGGCAGCCCCGGGCCAGGCACAGGCTCACCATCTTGGTACATGGGATCTGAACTAGCCCATCAGATTTTCTCTTGACCAAACCGTATTCAAGGATATTTGCAGTTTGATTCAAACACTGAAGTGTGTCTGTGAACCATGGTCCCAACCATGGGACAGGAATCTCCTCCCCAGAAGGAAGCATTTGGTCTGCCCCTTCGAGTGCAGGAAGGTAGAACAGACACACGCATGTAGACATGGGGTCTGATAGCCTGATTTTGGAACCCAGTAGCAGCTAGCTGTAGAATCTTTGGGCAGGTCATTTGCCCTCTCTGTATTCTCCAGTGTAAATATGGGGAGTTAATGGAATTAACGACGACAAAGCAGGCGGCTGGTACACCCTGGACCATCAATCACTGTTAGGTGTCTTCCTCCTGCCTTGCTCCCTAGAGTACCTTGACTGGCAGAGGAAGTTTAACGAGGGTACAAATCTTTGAGCTCTCAGAAACCTTCAATCTCTGGCCCAGCTCCAGACCCTTCCCCCAAGCCCCTTCCTTCCCATTTCCAGGGGCACCCCCTTTAACCAAGGAGGTCCAGCAAGTAAAAACACCTTTTTCAAGGTCTCACAATTTCTCTGCAATAAAACATCTTGTCTTCATAGGTAGATAGCTCACCATAGTTTTTAGCTCAATGTTCAACTTTGTGTTCATTAAATTCAAGTGACACTATTATGGGACAAACCTCTATGGGCAGCAGGTACCACCTAAATGGAGAATTCCTGACAATATCTGCCTGTGGCTGAACCAGATTTTTAAACTGTATTCTCATCCCCTAAGCCAACAGCTCTGAAAGTGTCCTGGAACCAAGGCTAAAATTACCTTCATAATATTACAACAATGTCGGCCTTTTTCTCTCTCACACTGAGTATACAGCGGTGTTTACCAGAAGCTGCACACGATACTCCAATGGATCACATGCATCTTCCTTTTAGGAAAACAGTATGGAGATTTGCAGAAATGAAAAATAATGCTACTTACTCTCCTCACACAAATTGTTTTGATAAAGTTACTTTTCACAAAAACAAGTTCATTTTGTGGTAACATAGAGTTAAAAATGTTTATTCATTTAAAAACATTTCTCAAGTTGAATTTCAAATATGGTAACTATTAACAGATACAAACACAGCTCTTTATGGGCCTCTAGAACATTAAGTGTCCCTAGACCAAAAGGTCTGAAAGCCACTGTCCTAAGCCCTTTCGTAAGCTAAATTCAGACTCACTAGGAAGTCAAGTCTGATGAGGAGTGACTAGTGCCCTTTGCTCATTCAGCTTATGGACTCCTGGAACAGAATACAGCCCCAACATCAACCCCAAATTCACTTTCAGAAGCATTTGTGAACCGTATCAATCTAAAATGGGAAGGGATACTCAGAGGTCACTCAAATCATCAGAATAATTCCCTCCATAGACCATGTTATTAGCCAATGAAAATAACTTTGCATGGCTTACAGCCTTTCTCAGCGAACCATGTCGTCTACTAAATGGAAGGTCATCAATCTTTTCCAGTTCACGGAAATCAGGGTATATGGATCTTTAGAAAGTAACCTCTTAGTACTGCTGTGAGCCAGTGAAATCCATGGTCAGCTAACATCCCAAGGCAAGGAATTTCCTGTTTCACACACAGGAAGGCTAGTTCTAGAACCTCAGAACAGAAGAACGGCATGTATACAATTTTATGCACATTCCAAAGTTCCTTCTTCATGTTGAGAATAGAGTTTAGCATATATAATTACATAAAATATTCCATAAAATGTCATTTTATTTGCCATTCAAATGGGTGTGGAAAAACTGAAGTCTTTTTTTTTTTTAATGGAAACACTAAAGGAGAATCACACAGGAAAATGGTCCACGGTAAAGCTTTTTCTCTATGAACTCAGATCCTTGAGTTCTGGAAAACAAAGGGCAGGTGGGTTAAAGGCCTATAATTCTGTGTGCCTTGGGGATACTCCACCCCACAAAATTCGATGATCTTCATACAGCCAAGGACAGAGCTGGCTCTCCAAACTGCCAAACACTGAAATGCCATAGAACAGAGATGGATTCTGACCTTTATTATAGCATCCCATACTTTTTGATCTGTAAAAGACCAGCATTTTTCTACCAGGATTCATGGATGTGATTCCGTTGATGATTTGTTTGCAAATAGTCGGAAAGAAGTGGAAACTTTTTCCAAAGGACCACTTGACTTGTGTCTGTCAGGGATTCCACAGACTTCCAGACACCACTGAGAAGGACCAACTCCGTGGGCAACAGGGTGATCAGTTTTCAGAAGGCAAAAATCTTCACCACTTCCAGAATCTGCTAGTTATATCAGGTAGGTTTTGAAAACAAATGAAATAAAGGCCATGCAGACCCCTGGGGTGATGGGGCTCAGGCGCAGCAGGCTGGTATCTGGAATCTTCCTCTGGCTCTCTGAGACTTTACCTTCTCACAGTTATCAGGCATAATAAGTTCGAAAACTAATCTGTTTTTGCTGTAATGTAACAGAGTACCTCTAATCAGGAAGCAAACCATATCCTTAATATTGGACATTTAGGTTAACAAAATATTGGACAGCAACAAAAAAGCAAACTGGCTTTCATTATGATGAATTATGTGAACTGCAGAACATTTTCCTACTATAGTTAGGATAAAGGGCAGGATACAAAAGGGTATGTATATTGTAGGCACAATTATGAAAATTATGTGTCTGAAAGGTAATATGAATAAAAAGTTACTTCAGGGTGCTGAAATGATGAATAGCTTATACATTATTAAATGTTAGATAATTTCAATCTCAACTCAAATGATATCAATTTTTTAAGTTAAATGATGCTCCAAATACCATTATATTCAATAAAAAAGGAAAGAACACTATTATACTTGACTGCCTCTAATGGACATTTTACTGCCTTGTTTGCCTAGACTGGATCCCTTCCTCCCACCTTTCTCCAGGAAATGCCCCTTCCAACCACATAGTCAATGGATACAGCTATCTTCCTAAAGTGCCTGTCCTACTTGTTCAGGGCATTTGCCCCAACCTCGCCAATCATGATCTTCTTCTGTATCATTTAAACCAGAACTTCTTCGCTGAGTACTTGGGGAGTTATAATCCACAAAGCTGGTAATGACCATGATCCAGCCACAGAGAAGAAAGGATGTCCATGTATGAAAACGAGCCCACTGAACCTTATGTCTCCGGTTCTGGTTATCTTGGAGGCCCACGTGGATTCCTGCATTTTCCACTGCCTGGTTGCAAACCCATCAATTTCTGATTTAAGTTATTTTGAATTGGCTTTAATAGATGGCCACTGGAGATTCCCAACAACTTTGCAGCCCCACATAATCAATATAATGGAAAATGCAATAAATCCTACCTGGGGAGCTTTAGTGAGGAGAAGAGCAACTTCCGGATTATTGTGGTAGCGGGCAGTCTCCAATGGAATCTGGCCTGCCTAAGGAAAGGCACAGGGGAGGACAAGTGAGTAAAGACACCAACCCTGCACACATCTAGCCCAACTGGGACAGCAACTCTGCAGTCACACCAGCATGTAAGCAAGCTCAACAAGATATAATCACACATAAGACCTGGCCTTGCTCTTGAGCCTCGCCCCATTTAGTGCAGGAGCCAAGTCACACCTGAGAGCATAATGATTAACAACATACAGCAAGAGAGTCCTGACCCTCTAGGAAGCAAAGCTCTGGGATACCTGCCCACCAAGGAATGCTTCCTAGAAAAGAGAGGAGGGAATGTAAAAGACAAGGTCACGGTGGAAGATTTCAGTTGAAGAAACACAAAGGATCATAAAATCCAGCCAAGCAATGAATTTTCCCTGGAGGACACTTGGAAGATCAGGCCCCAGCCAGTCTCAGGACCTGGATTGTAAAGAACAATTAGGAAGCTTTGGCCATATCGGAGGCTCTAGGGAGATAAAGGCAAAAAGTAGGAGTTGCTAACAGTGGGATTCAAAAGAAGGGAAAGGCCATCATGGGACAGGTACGATGATGCACCACACAATATAGGTAGGAGAGCTGTGAGGAGGAAGAGGTGGAGGAGGAAGCTGGGGACTAGATACAGGAGCCTTTTGCCAGCTCCAACACTCCCCAACTCTCTACACAACTGTTCTGTCCCCAGCCCCTGAGTCTGGGCTACTTCAGGAGGGCAGAGACCACAGGTCAGCCTCAAGGGAGAAAGGGTGCCTGAGCTGGTGCCTGCCATAGAACCTAGGAGAGAGAGGGAATAGGGTGGGGTGGGATATTGAGAGAGAGAGAGAGAGGGAAAGAATAAGGTGATTTTGGAGAGAGAAGAGAGTTTTGAGGATGATTAATCTGACGGTCATGTGGCCACTTTTCTGAGTAGCCTATTCGTTTACAGGGCAGGAACTCACTTTCCATAACATCCACTTGTCAGTTTACTTAGACACCCACGACCTTCCCTTTACTGGCAGGATGTGCTCACTTCATCTAAGAGTCTAAGGATAAAGCCTTAGGGTTCATCAACTCATGGGGCTGCTAGGAGCAAGGGTTCCCTCAAGTCCACCTCTGGGGTCCTCAGCTTTAACAGAACCCCAGCTCTTACAGAGTAAGGCTGCGGGGGCTTTGTGCCCTTTGCAGAATAAGACTGGGTGAGGCTATGTGCCCTGCAGGAAGTGAGGTAGTTAACAACATGCTCCATTCTGGGAAGGGGTGGGAATGATTTTTAGAAACACTGTTGCAACTTAACTTACATTATTAACAATGGTCCCATCTGCTCCAGCTTCCAGTAAGATTTTAACCACCTTCTTGTGATTTAGGGCGGCAGCAACATGAAGCGCTGTGTCTCCAGCCTGAAATTAATCAGAAGAGAGGCCGCTAAACTCCATCTGATTATGGCATACAGCCCTCCGGATTTTCATCCCATGGCCTGGTGGTGGCTATTCAAATTAGGATTTGCCTTAGACTGATAGGGGGCCCTTTGCTCAAGTGTTACGTGGTTCTCTTTAAAGAGATCTCTTTAAAATGACCTACGTACAAAGATCACACTCCTTTCTGACTAAGGATACTAGAAATCACAGGATTAAGTAAAGGGGGCAAAGTAAGGTTGGGCTGGGGTTGTTGAGAATGGGGAGACCTGAAGCCTTACACCGAATTAGATAATGGGCACACAGCCATCACAGAGCTCTGTACCACGTCCCTCTGCCCAGGCAGAGGACCCCTTGGTTTCTGAGTACTAGAATGAGCAGAAGCTGCAAGAAAATGGCTACTTCTGCAAGCACCAGGGGGGATCCCAGCCCTGCAGCACCCATGGGAATGTAAGGGGCCCCCTGGGAATCACTTTGCAGGCTCAGGGTGTTCTTCGTTTGGGTGGAATCACTGAAAAAAAAAAAGTGTTCACTTAAGACCAGCTGTTTTCAACCTCTTACCGAATAGCCTATTAAATAAAGCTCATATTTTCTTTCTACAAAAAATGTTCAGACAATCAACTATGAAAGGAGGCTATGGACAACTGCAGCTTGGTGGGCCAATTCCCAATGTGAACATTTGTATTTCCCAAAGCAGAAGGATATAAATAAATCAGGCAAATACAGATGTGAAATAATCCATTCTCTCTCATTGGGTGATCAGGTAAAGCTCCGGATGACGTGTTTTCCTGGGCAGCATGAAAATCCAGCTGTCCCAGGGCCCTCCTCCCCCAAGGGTAGCCAGGGAAGTTTTAATTCACTGCTGAGTCACTTAGCTGCGTGTGTTGGGGATGCTCTGCAGCAGGAGTTTCCAACCTTGGCTGCAAATTGGGATCAGCTGGGGAGCTTTAAGAACTATTAACACCCGGGTCCCTCCCCCAGGCACTGATTTAGTTGTTCTGAAGTGTAGGTTGGGCATGGGGATTTCTCAAAGCTCTCAGGTGACTGAAAAACATCCTGCCAAAGTTGAGAAACATAGGTTCGTGGGGGCTGGGTAAAGGTAATCTGATGAGCGAGAATCCGCTGGAAGCCTGGAGAAGGACAGGATCAGGTATTCAGCTAGGCCAGTGGTTCTCAATCCTGTCTGCACACTTAGGTCAAGAGCTTTCTAAAAATCCCATTACCTGGATTCTGGTCATTTAAACTGGGGTAGAATTCAGCAATGGTATTTATAATTTCCCTGCTGATTCTTAATATGCAGCGGGAGTCAGAAACCACTGTTATGGGGCACCGTCAATCTGAATAATGATCTGTTTTTAAAATTTCAGATATATGCACCCAAACTCAGAAAAGCCAAATAATGTATCATTTAGGTATCAATAAATACCAAGACATTTAAAAAATTTAAACTACTGAAAATCATGCACATTTCTATGGAACGCTGTAATAATCACAGCTTTATTGCAAACCCCCAGTACACAGATGCAGATCACATACCCAGTTTTACAGAGACCAGAGACTCCATCAGCTCAAAGTGGCAGCGCAAGGAACAGAACTCACGGAGTCAGGAGACACCTAATTCCCTTGCCCATTTATTAAGCCACGTTCCTCTTTGTGGGTTTCCTTTGTGAAAGCATTACAACAAGCAAAACCTGCCCCAAGATCTTCAGAAAATGTTCAATATGCAAATGTGGAGCTATGAACTGGAATGAGAAGAGCAGGCTCTGTCCAGGAGGCCAGATAAACCAGGACCACAGGAACTCAGTGGAACACTCATGCAAAGGCCAGCACTGGCCTTGTCCCAGACTGGAGGCCCCCAGCAGTCTCTGTCCCCATTTGTGCTAACACACCTGCCAGCCTTGTGGGAATGGGGCCCGGTAGCCATGGGGAGGACACATGCACTGACCTGGTTCTTTTCATGGACAGAACAGAAAGCACTGAGGAGGAGCTTAATGATGGACAAGTGATTATAGCGTGCGGCAACGTGCAAACAGGTATCGCCTGCCTGCGGACAGAAATCAAACTCTGAGCACAATCTGAGCAGTTACATAAATAAATAAATAAATAAAGATTAAAAAACTGGCAGACTAGTGTATGTTCTTTAGAGGTTATCAGCCTGAACTGGAAGCATCCCCTTTCCCGTGGACGCCCAACTGCAAGCCCCACAGCTCTGTGCTGTTCTCTGCGGCTCCACCGGCTTTCTCTGAGCAGACTCTCCGCTTTCAGGTTTCAGACGCTGGGCGCCCGCTCCCCACGAGGCCTTCACCGGAGCTAAGGCAGGCTCTGCTTACCCAGCACTTGCTAGGAACCCACTCACCACAGCCTCTCCTACAGCCCAAAGGCTCTGGAGTATACCGAATTAAGACCAACAGCACTGCTTTGGAAACGAGCCCTTTTCCATTATGGATTTGTCACGGCACAAAGGTCAGCGCGGCAGGGACAGCCGTCAGATTTTAAGATCACGTGTGTTCTAAAAAAAAATTCAAGCTGCATCTCATTTTAGTAGGACCCCAATATTTCAGGCAGGGTGGGGCAGAGCAGTCTGGGGAGCTGATGAGGAGGCAATCACTGGCGTAAGACAGAGCATTCAGGAAAAAACTCAGGATCAAGATCTTCCTTAGTGGGCACGGGCTAACCCGCTCCCAGAGAGAACAAAACTGGAGACAAAGTCAGGACACTCTGCAGTGTTTTCTTGATGTTTTCATTCAAACTTTGTCTAGAGATGGCCGCCACCCAGCATGACCTTCTCCCCTGGATTAAGACGGAGCCAAGCTCAAAGCCCAAGTTCAGGGCATTCTGAGACTCACTTTAGAGGAGTCTGCCCTCAGTGAGGGAGACCTCAGTGAAGGCTCTTTTTCGAGAGGAGCCCCAGCCAGAGTCTCTAGTCGAGGGATGAGGCACGGGACTTACATGAGGCACGGGACTTACAAAGGAAACACCGCTGCTTGTGGAGGGAGGGGGCATGCCCACGTGACCTCCAAAGTCAGGCATCCTCTAAGAACTACTGACCCATCGGCTCATCTCAAGGGCACCTCAGTAACCAATTTGTAGACACAGGCATCAGAGGATCTCCCCTGGACGGCATCGTCTGCCATTTGCTAACTGCACAACACTACGTGGGCAGAGGTTTCCTGGACTCATTTGCCAGCACATGCTATGCAAAATGTTGAAACAAACCCAGGCTGAGGAGCGAGGGGGAAAGGATGGGAGAAGAGCAGTGTTTGAATCTTTTGAGTCCTCTTCTCCTGCCCCTGGCCGACCCCTTAAGGCATAGCAAAAAAAATAAATACTTTATAGATAGTCCCCAAACACTTTTCCCATTTTCAGTTTCATTTTCTAGGTGTTAATACTCAAGTATGCTTTCAGGGTTACTTTCCAAGGTGACACAGGAGAGCGCGAGAGAAGTCGGATTTGTTCACCCACATTATTTTTGAGGTCGGCCCGGGACCCGCCCAGCAGGAGGATGCGAGTGCTCTGGGAGTGGCTGTTCTGGCAGGCCAGGTGCAGAGCGGTGTTCCCCGCCTTGGAGAGAGGCAAGAGAAGGGAGGACACGTTAGCAACATGCTTCTCGGCCGGTCTGCATGGGGCAGGCTTTGCAGGGGGCTGATAGACACTTCCAAGAAAAAAAAAGTCAATGCTCACATTCTCTGCTTCCTGACTGGTGGCCCCAGCAGAGGGGTTTCAGTGGCAAGAACAGTTAATGTGGAATCCAGACAGGCGCAAGAGTCCTATCAGCCACAAAATCTTGGCTCTGCCACTTCCTAGCTGAAAGTCACTGGTCAAGACTCAATATGCTCAGTCTGGAATTCCTTACCTGTAAAATGGAGTGTGACCCCTACTTCCTGAGGCTGTGAGGATTAATTCGGAGTGCCTGTGAGAGAGTATTTACTTAATGGCAAAATGCTGTGTGTGTGCAGTACGTTGCACTCCTTTCGGAAAGGACTGCATCCTTCCTGCCCAACGCAGATAACAGCTGTGACTACAATACACCACTGGAGTAAAGGCAAAAGAGGCCACTTCCTGTGAGTGCAGATAACTGAGATTTAACTTGTATGCCTTTGGAAACCTTCCATTCTTGTGTTTTCCTTGAAACATCAAAATCTGAACTATGAACAAAGGTACGCACACTGCAGGCAATACGATTACGTCCACCACTTACCATACAGATGGAGACCCTCTTGCTTTTTGGGCTCCACCACCAATATGCCATTTCACAGTGACAACCAAGGGTCAGAATCACGTCCATAGCAATGTTACAGAAAGAATTCATGACATAAACAACTTTTTAAAACCGTGCAGACGGTGCCTGCAAGGCTGCTGATAAAAGTAACAACAAAAGCAGACAGCACAAGAGGAGATGCGGTGTTACTCTGAGAGAGCCTAGGAGCATACAGGAGGTTAAGTCTGTAAGCTCAGTGATTGGTGGGCTGAGCTAAAAAGCTGGGTCAGGACTGCAACTGTGTGGGCTCAGAGCTATTTCACTGCCTGCTTACAGCTTTTCCTCGCCCCGGATCTGGATCCCATGGCACTGTCTGCCCATCCTCATGGATGTTCTATTTCTCACCTCTTGAAAAGAGCAATGAGTTTTATTTAAAAAAAAAAAACCACACAGAGGAAAACTGGATGTCGCTGGTTCACTTACCTCCCCTCTCATACCCTTAGCTCTAAGCAGCCTGGGTAGAATCTTTCTCCCTTACTGCTCCCTCCAAGGAACCTGAAGGTTATAGGCCTGAGCGCTTAGTGAGCTAGGAGGTTATCACCCTTCCACTGCACCAAAGAATCACCTGGGGGAGCTTTTAAGACTACTGGTGCTCAGCTGCAACCCTTCTAGGGACTCTGATTTACTCAGCCTGGGGGTGGAGTCTGGGCAGTTCAGGTCTCAGCACCAAAAGTCCCAAACTCCGGGAAACCCCTCGGCCCAGGGAAAACTGGGACAGCCTGTCACCTGAGGCCCAGTCATCAGGTGAGTTTGTCGCCCCCCACTTTTGTTTTTGTTTATAGTTTTCCAGGAGATTTTAGAGCACAAACAGGTAGAGAGCCACTGCTAGCTTAGCTCTCAAAAACAGAGGATCGGCCCACGTTTTAAACACTCCGTCCTCTGTGCAAGGGCTCGGCACCTGGCTTGGTGTAATTCTTACTGCCCTGGCAGTAGGTTGTCTCAAAGGTGTTGGTTTCATGGGAGTTATTAAATGTGTTGAATAAATGGGGAAATAAAAGGCTTCTGATGGTTCTGGAACTATACACCAAACATTGCTTTGCTAATAAGAAAATATCAATTATGCTGAAAAACATTTGGATCAAGAAAATCAAAAACTGTGGATTAGAATACACAAATGATGGTATGTTCATATACTGGACTCTTACTCGGCAATAAAAAGGAATGAACTAATCTCACATGTAACAACATGGAGGACTCTCAAAAACATGAAGGGAAAGAAGTTAGGCACAAAATGCTGCATACTCTTTGATTCCATTTACATGATGTTCTGGGAAAGGCAAAGCAGATCCGTGGTTGCCAGGAGCTGGGAGTGGTGGGTGGGTGGGAGACTGCCACTCAGGGGCACAAAGGAAGTCTCTGGGGCGATGGAAACATTCTATATCTTGATTGTGCAGGTGGTTACACAACTATATACATTTGTCAAAACTCATACAACAATATACCTAAGAAGGCTGAACTTTATTGTATATGGATTATACCTTAGAAGCTGACATTTAGAAAATGTGACCTAGGAGATATGCGTAGCAGGCATTTTTCCATCCTGAGTAATGAGTACTTATTTCCCAGACAGGGGCTGATATACTCACTGAGTAAGTTCTTATACAACAGAATGTTCTTATACAACAGAATATCATCCAACCTCAAAAAAAGAAAGAAATTCTATCATTTGTGACATGCATGACCCTAGAGCACACCTGTTAAATAAAATAAGCCAGACAGAGAAATACTGTATGGTATCACTTACACGTGGAAGGTGGGGAAAATAGGGAGAGGTTGGTAAAAGGGTACAAAGTTTCAGTTACAAGTATCCTGTAACATACAACATGGTGACTATAGTTGATAAATTGTATACAAAGAATAGAACTGAATGTTTACATCAAAAATTTTTTAGGAAGTGTAAACATGTGAGGTGAGGGGGGTGTTCATTAATCCGATGGGGGCAATCCTGTCACAACATATACATATATCAAGTCGTCACTTTGTACATTTTAAATATCTTACAATTTTATTTGTCAGTTATACCTCAGTAAAGGTGGGGGCAGAGGGGAGGGCCTTTTTAGAGACTTCACCAGAGGATGTGGCTGGTGCAGAACATAGAAGTCCTTTTCCGGGATAGCCCCTACCTTTGCTTCTGACAGTCTCTGCTGTTCTATCTAGAGAGACCTTGTGGCTTTCCACAACACCTTCGGGGCCCCATACAGGATAGGAGGCAGTGTGGTGGAGCAGACGGACTCAGGATAGTTTATGGCCCTACCTGTGTGTCTTTGTTGAGAGTACTGGCTCCCAGCTCAGGCTTCCCTATCCATTAACTGGGAACCACCTACTTCTCAGAGTTCCAGGATCTAAGATACAACATGGGTCCACCTACAACTCATGTTCCAGACAATATACCACTTAGAAGAAATGAAGCAGCCACCAGTTTGCAGGGACTCAGGCATTACTGGAGATACCATGATGCATGGCTTGCTTCTTTTCCTCCAGTTTTTGTCCCATGAGGGAACCATGAGAAACATTTTTTTTTTTTAAGATTTTATTTATTTATTTGACAGAGAGACACAGCTAGAGAGGGAACACAAGCAGGGGGAGTGGGAGAAGGAGAAGCAGGCTTCCCACGGAGCAGGGAGCCCGACGCGGAACTTGATCCCAGGACCCTGAGATCATGACCTGAGCCGAAGGCAGACGCTTAACGACTGAGCCACCCAGGCGCCCCCATGAGAAACATTTAACCAGTAAATGACAGCACAAAGCTGTGTGAAGTGCCAAGGGAGCTCTGCAGGAAAGAGCCTGATGGGCCTTTGGAGAGGGATAGGCCACTGCCCTGGGAGCCCGGGTTGGAGGTCTATAGGCGGATAGGAGAAGCAGGCTTCCCCAAAGGGAGTGGGCAACGGGAAGGATGATGAGCCCCCTCTGGTAGCACACGAGGCACATACTGGGAAAGGCTCAGGGAAGAGGCTGCAGACGGACTGAGGCCACTCCAGGGAGGCCCAAGACAGTGTCAGGCTGGGGAGCTTTCCTGGAGCAGAGAAGGAGCAGGATGAAGAAGGGACTAAGCAAGCTGGCCAATCTGCTGTGAGGTTTCTGCAGTAATCCAGAGATGCATTCATTAATAATGAGCACAGAAGGAGGGGATGAGACATGATGAGTGACTGGAGGGGAGATAGGAAAATGCGGGAAAAGAGGTGCTGCTGGCTTCTCCCCGTCTCCAGGAGGACGGGGCTGCTTGCCGAACCACACCAGGATAAACCAATGGGAAAGCAGTGAGAGCCAGGAGAATTCAGAGGAAGTCAAAGCCACTCTAGTAGGTTCTCTTGCTCACCATGGAGATAATGTTTCATTTCCCCTGGTCCCCCGAGCTCTCGCTTCGCTCAGTGAGGAGGCTCACACAGGGACGACAGCCTGCAGCCATCCCCACCTGTGAACGGAGAGTTCTAGCACCTGTTGGGCCTCACCTTGTTCTTGGCAAGCACGTTGGCTCCTGCTTTAACGAGCAGTTTGGCTGACTGGCTAAAACCGTGCCAGGATGCTTCGTGTAGGGCCGTATTCCCGTCCTAAGGAACACATACGGAGACAGAAAGCACATTACCCAAGACCTAATCCATCTCATTAGAATTGATACATCACAGTGTATTTCTAGGGTACGCATCACAGGTCCTTTCTCAATAGGGGCTTCTCATAGGAACCACAGAGCCCAGAAAATGATTGCAGGGGCTAGTTTCTCCATTCTCCCAGAAATGGTACATAACAAGTACCATTTTATTTTTTTACAATTTTTGGCAGGGAGGGGCAGAGGAAGAGGGGGAGAGAGAATTTTAAGCAGCCTCCACCCCCAGCATGGAGCCCAACTCAGGGCTCAATCCCATGACCCCGAGATCATGACCTGAGCTGAAATCATGTTGGATGCTTAAACTACTGAGCCACCCAGGTACCCCAGCAAGTACCATTTTAGATTGATGATGTACAATAGATGCCTTAAGGCATTAGGGCTTAAATCTCTCCAGGAACCCCGGTTGAGAAAGGCTCATCCATAGTCACATTTAACAGAAAACAACATCGAGATGATGTTCATTCCTTCCCACCTCCATCACCCCTGGGGTCTGCTCTGCGCTGCTCCTGGCCCCAGAGAGAACCCTGAAAAGATCAGGCAAATGAAGAGTCCAGCTTCATAAGCTGCTGGGCCCAAGGGCTGGATAGGCAGATTCCTCCTCTCTTTTTCTTCCCCCAATTTAATCTCACCCAGTTTAATCCAAAATCTCAGGGACCGAAACAAATAAGCAGACACTGAGACAACAGTGACTTGTAAAGAAGATAAACAAGTGTCCTCAGTATGTGGCTTTTTAAATAAAAACCAACCAATTAACACACACAGTTGGCATTTGCTTAACTTCCTACAATAGAAATATTAAGTGCAGTGAAGTGAGTGGGGTGGGGCTGAGGGCTGGGGTTATAGGGAGGGAGAAGCATGCAGAGGACAGGTGGAGAGACTGCGCGTGTGCTGTTCCAGGTCAGAGCGCGGAGCAGGCCTGGGGGCAGGGCAGGTGCACTGTCTGGGCACGTCCAGGCGCTGGCTTTGGCTCTTCTTCGTCCATACCACGAGACTGGCTGAATGGCACTGACACCCACAAGGAGGAGGCTAGGTAGGGTCTGAAAGGCCTGGGAATGGGGTGGTGCTGGGAATGGTAGTGGCCATATTTGGGCTGGCCCGGGGGACTGACTGCACACAGCAGGAAGCAGAAGGAAAAGTGACTGGATGGGGACACTTGTGAGGGGGCTTCTGGCATGCTGCTAATGATCTGCTTCTTGATCTGGGGGCTCACAAAGATGTGCTCAGTTAGTGAAAACTCACTGAACTGCATGCTTATAATTTGCACATTTTTCTGTATATATGGGACGCTTGAGTTAAAAAGTTGTCTAAAAAAGTAAACACAGGCCGAACTGCACTTAATTACAAAGTTCCCTGCTTTAAGATTAACGATTTAAAAGCAACGATTAATATAAAATATATCATTGGGATTTCTTAAAGAATTGATTTTGCTCATTTTTTTCCTCCCAATATATTTCAAATTAATTCTAATTTTTTTTTAAAGAAAAGTGAGCAAGTTAATTTGAGTCCAGGGCACATGCTTTCCCCCATCCAGGCCTCCACAGGTCATTATTTCTAGAATTTTTTTCTTTACCACTTATATTTATGTGGTTGCCCACTGCTGCCACAGAACAGGGGGAAGGATTAAAAAAAATACAATTTGTTGGGATATTAGATACTATTTCAAAAGAAAGTTGGGCTGATTTTATCATGTTAAAGCATGAGTGATAGGACTCAGGAATGATAACATTGAACAGTCACAAGCTCCCGAAGCAGGGTGCTCAGGCGGACATGTCCCACGTCACCTTGTCTTGGCGGTCCAGAGCACAGCCCTCCTGGATGAGCGCTGCAATGACATCCGTGTTCCCCACCACTGTGGCCCGGTGCAAGGCGGTCTGATCCCCCTGCAGAGTGACGTGGAGGCGGGAACATCAGTCAGCTCTCCCAGCCCTACCCTGCAGCACTCACTGCGCTACTCTGACACAGGGACATCTCCTGTCCTCAATCGGAGCAGACCGGCCACCATGCCAGGCAGAGCTCTTTTGTTCCCAAACTCAGTAGGAACCTTAAACCGACCACAGAACGACTTCAGAGCTGACATCAGAATGAGGGTCAGGCACTCACCTGCCACCCCGAGGAATGGCAGTGTTCAGAGATTATGACTGTCACATCTGGAAAGTGGGTCTGAGAGCTAGACTGTGTGCTATGCAGTTAAACCAGCAATCTTTACTCCCTACTGAGTCCTCTAGTTGCCTGTTCTCTTTCAGAGGAATCACTATCCGGCTAAGTCAGCTAGCAACACTCAACGATTTGATGACGGGTGTATATTTGTTGATTGACTTATATGGGCTGAGGGCAATGTAGAGGTTTATGCCATGTCATCTGAGGACTCCAGGGACTATCACTGCATAAGTCTATGAAGCCTATTCTGATATTTCATGTCAGCATCCTCACTGATTTATGCTGCATTTTCTTTATGATCAGATGCTGGGGATTGCTGATCTTCTCATTCTCCATCAGGGCACCAAAGGGAACTTGACTCTTTCCCCTAGTTGCAATTGAGAGAAAGTAAGATGGTCAAGATAAGAGAGAGTTCTGAAGTCTCTAAGAGCACATCTCATCTCTGACATGTACTCAGGAAATCAAGTCGAAACAAATTAAGTCTAGCCTGGGATCCAAACTGAAATGGGGAGATAGGTGAGCAGTGTGGAAAACTTCTGGTAGGAAGGGAGAGGTGCAGGGCAAGGGGGACAGGAGATGTGAATCTTGCACAGTCTTGGGAGACACCTGTCATTTCACTGGGCCTCTGTTTCTTTACCTGTAAAGGAGGGGTGGTTGCTCCCTAAGTTCTGTCCCTTCCCTTCTTGGGTTCTATGCTTTGGTTGGTAAGAGTTCTGCATAAAGATGTTCTGGTGGGGCACCAGAGGGGCAAAGGACACACCCTGGTGCATCCCTCATCTTTAGCCCAAGAGAGGAAAGAGAGACTGTTATAAGACAAAAAATATGGAGATTTTTTTAAGGGGGATACACTGCTACCTATGAATCGCCTTAATGAAGTACTGATTCTACTTACTAAACACGCTGGAATCTAGAACAAACAACAATGCACATTAAAATCACTTAATCCAAACAGAAATTCTGGAGATGGATGGTCATAATGGTTGTTCAACAATGCAAATGTACTTAATGCCACTGAACTGTACAGTTAAAAATGGTTAAAAAAATGGTAAATTTTATGTTATATGCATTTTATCACAATAAACACTTCATGCTATTTAAAACTCAAATTCACTTTCTTAAAATTAAAGAAAACAAAAAACCTCCCTTTAAAAATCCATGAGGGGAAGTGATTTTTATTTTCTTCCTTATACTTTTAAATAGTTTCCTACTTTTTATATTTAACAAATATAATTTTAGCCACAGGAAAAACTCCTATTTATTAAAAGTCTACGCTGTAACAATATACCAATAATGGGATTGTCCACGTCTCAATCTTTTCTCACTGTTCATGTGTAGAATGTAAGGGATTTCCACAGTGATGGGTCAGCACATCCAGCTCCAGTATTATAATTGATTCACTGCCCACAGCATTTCTATCATGAATCCTCCCCGTTGGCATCATAAGCCATTGTTCCCATTAGACATTAGGTTTAGACTGGGTTTTCTCTTGTCCACCTTCCCAGAGACCCCTTACTCAAAGAGAACCCTTTCTGCGCACCTGCAGTCACAAGAGGAATGTGGCCACTGGATGGGCGGGTGCAGGAGGCACGTCAAGCCATTACACATTCATCTCAAACATCCTAGGAAGTGTTTCCAGATGACATACACTATGTCCAAACAAGTCATCCTATGAGAAACTGCCCAAGTCTTAACTTTTAAAAATTTCTATAAGAATTCCCACGATTGCCATTTCCCCATTAGAATGGTGACAGGTTTTCCCAAAACGGGCCTGAAGTGCAATTTATGACCTGATGTGAAAGATGGCTCTCTGGTCTCGGCAAGAAGGGAAGACTGAAGCTCATTCTCTAGGGGTAAACACTGATGGGGCTTTAATTCCCACAGACTGCCAGCACTCAGAACAGCACTCCTTGGACTGATGATAACAACCCTGACACAGAACAGAACTTAACCACTCGATCTGTGTTGTGCACAAAGCCCAGAACCCATGGGTCGTGTCGGTCACTCTTCTGTCTGAGTCCTCGCATGAGGGGCCTTGGCTGGTTAGAGCACAGTCTAGCCTAAGCCTTGCTGCAGGTCAAGTGTTTTATCATGTTCACAAGCTACCCCTAAATCACGAGTTCAAGCAGCTTTGGAGCCAGAACATCACTATTATTTATTACTTGCTCTCGGCATGAATCATCTGTTTTTGCTTCCCTACAGAGGTCTTTTCCTTTGTGAAACTCTAGCTCAACGAAAGAAGCTAAATCTAACTTTTGGTTTAGCCTTTAAAAGTAAATTTCCAGACGGATTAACAAGACTCAAGGAGATCTAACAACCTGGTGAGACTACAGTGAGAACACAAACTGTCCTAAGCCACTGCGACAGGCGTCTCTTGCAGAGACCTTTTAGGGGCACTGCCTGTCTCCAGACCACCACTTCCCCTCCATCTTCACTGCCCTCAGAGGCCTCACTCCGAGCCCGGGTCCTGGCCTCCTCAGTCAGATAAACACTGCTGAGAAGGCCAACATCAGCCTTTCCCCACTGCAAGTGGCTGTCCTTGAGCCGCGCCATTAGCTTTGTGAACACTGAATGGGACGGTTCTGGAGGACTGAGGAAGACAATTTCTCTGGCTTATAAACACCAGCCACTCCAAAGTTACCAAGATGAGAGTTGAAGGCCACTCAGACATAAAACACATAAGCAAAGGGCCAGCCTGGGCTATCTATCTCAGGGCTACTCTTCCCAGAACACAACCCAATCGAGCACCTGAGACCCTCAACTGAAACAGGGCCAGTTACCTGGAAATCAACTTTCCCCCTATAAAATGTACTGTGGAAACATTTCCTCTTTTTTTTTTTTTAATATTTATTTGACAGAGAGATAGAGAGCACAAGTAGGCAGACCGGCAGGCAGAGGGAGAGTGAGAAGCAGGCTCCCCGCTGAGTAGGGAGCCCGACGCAGGGCTCAATCCCAGGACTCTGGGATCATGACCTGAGCCAAAGGCAGACACCCAACCAACTGAGCCACCCAGGCGCCCCGGAACATTTCCTCTTTGAAATAGGACACAGAAAACAACAAAATGTGTCCTCTACATACGTATTAGCAGACCCAGGCAGCAACTTTGACATAATCCTTATTTCTGTATTATCTAAATACACCATGAAATTCTGAAACTTTGAAAAAAAAAATGCTGCAAAAGGTATGACACTCTTAACAGCATTCGATAGTTGTTTGTTCAGTAAGTATTTATTGACCCTCTACTATACTCCAAGTGGCATCTAATTCTCATTTTATTGATTAAAAAACAACAACAACAGCTAAGGCTCAGTGCTGTTCAGTGCCTCGCCAAGGATAACCAGCTAATTCGGGGTAGTGTGGTTAGGCCCGAATTCAAACTGTCAAGGCTCTTTGCACTTAACTCCAAGCTGTTTCCACCCTGTGAAATCAATGAACCTCAGTCTGGCAGGCCTTAAAAAAGATCAGCTGCCTCTTGATGGCATCCCCTAGCTGAGTGCTTTAGCACAATGCCATGGCCACTACAGGCACCCAAGAAGTATCTGTGGAATGATTAACTACAAAAATGCAAAAGGAAAAACACCGCAGCTGGAAACACGGAGAGCCAGCCACCTTGCAGTTTGGCACTTTGGTTTGGAACATGCTGACCTGTTTGCAAAGTGCATGAACTGCCAAGCTCTCAATTTTTCTGACTTCAGTGTTTCTCACGTATGGAATCTAAGGAGTTTGGAACCTCTGAGGTCTCCATCTTTGTTGCGAAATACTTTTAGCGTTCTCTCCTACATGGTGAGAAAGAGTGGGCACAATGCACGCGGATGCCGAAGCTAAGCTCATGGAAGAAACCCGAGTCCCGCTAAGGCGGAACACGTCCCTCTTCAGGAGGAATCTCTCCCAGGTGGCACAGACATGTTGCAAGGAAGCCCAACGGCGCAGGTGTGCAAAGCAAGTTGCTGACCTCTTTTTCTCTCTCTGATCTTCTAGGGTTCTTGCTAGCCTTTCTTCTCTGGTTTTTCTTATTTTTTTCTTCCTTTGTGGCTTTTATCATGGCCACGGGGTCCTGGACTATTTCTGAAGTGGGGGCCGTGTGGTTGCTCATGGACCAATCAGAGATGGCATCAGAGCTCCAATGTGAGTTGACAGGATTGGCCGGAAGCAAGAGGGAATTTTCTCTTTGGAGTTTCATATTCTAAAGAACTGGTTTCCACAGGCTGAAATTCATAATAATCCCATTCCAGGCCACTGGAGGTCATTCTTCAACTAATTCTCAGTCCTTACCATGACATAAGGAATGTATCTGTAGAATATGAAGTTAGGAGTAAATTCTTCACAACATTAACATTCTCTATTTCTACCCATCATCCAAGACAGGTAACTTCTGAACTGATTTTTTTCCAATAATTAACGTCCCAGCTTCTTTAAAAAAAACACCCATAGTTTTCTTCTTCGAATTCTTGCATAAATTTCAAAGCTGATCACCAACAGGCACAATAAATATGTAGAAGAGAGACATGAACAATATTCTGGCAAATGGATTGCTTCAGAACTAGTGAAGATCAATTCTACCTTCTCCTTTCTCAACCATTTTTACACTGTTTTGTTGCTGTGTTTTTGTTTTGTTTTTGTCTTGATTTAAGCTATCAGGGAGAAGCAATGTACACACTGTCTGATTACGGCAAGAAAAAGATGCAAGAAAATACATTATTCCAATAAATGAAATGAAGGTGTTCCTGTCTGAAAGTAGCACTGAATTTCCTTCGGCTGACATGTCTCCCCTTGGCTACCCTGTGAAAATTCCTATTTTTTTTTTTTTTAAGATTTCATTTGTTTATTTGACAGAGAGAGACATAGACAGAGAGAGAACACAAGCAGGGGGAGTGGGAGGGGGAGAAGCAGGCTTCCCGCCGAGCGGGGAGCCCGATGCGGGGCTCGATCCCAGGACCCTGGGACCATGACCTGAGCCGAAGGCAGACGCTTAACGACTGAGCCACCCAGGCGCCCCGAAAATTCCTATTTTACTTCCTACCTTGCCTGATATAAACTTCTAGGAAGTTAGCATGGCTTTTGCTGCATGAGAACACATGTGATTCTCAGAGCTCAAGACCGGAGGCAGGAGTTGGGTAGGAATGGGTTAACATGCCTGGCATGGTAGCCTTGCCAGAATGGCCAGTGAGGACTCTAAGGCAAAGAGAAGACCTGATGCATCCCAACATGTCTGTACCAGAAGCCCAATGCTCTGCCTTTTCTGTGGTCAGAATCTCTTCTCTCTCTCCTTGTATGTTCATTCCTGTCATCTAAGGAGATGATATATAATCAGGAATGTTGTGAGAGTTACAGTGTGGGGAAAAAATATTATGACCCAAGGTAGAAATCAACAGCTAAAAGCTAAACCAGCATCTTTTGAAAGTAACATTTTTGATGACCCAACAGGTTCCAAATATAACCAGAGATTTATGAATGATACTGTTCAGCCTTCTGCCTGTACATAAAGTGATGACATTTAGCTATTTCTTTACAAATGCTGTCCATCTCACTTGTGTGTCTGCCAAGTTTTAGAACATTACACAGATGACTAAAGAAAATTAGAAGCCCTTTGGTAACCTACACCCTAGCACACCTGAGGGTCTGAAATTTGATTAACACTCTGTAACCACAGTTGTTAAAGGTGAGTCAGGAAGAGATTATGGTAAGTGCAAATTCTGTAAGATTTTGTGTTCCTCACAAAATTTCTTATTTCTTAGAGTCCTACTGCACAAATTAGAGTTGAAATTAGAAACAGTTTCTGAAATTAGCTTCCAATCACATTATCATAGGACTTTTTCCTAATAACTAATTGGAGGACAATTTACATAATCTTATCTATATCCTCCTCTTAGAGAATTTACTTCCCCAAAGACCCAAGGCAACCCTGTGCGCTACGTGACATCACCCCAGCCACTGCTGATTGACTCAGAAATGGATATTTGACTCCAAAGGAGCCAATCAGAGTCTTTCTCTAGATAATCTGAATGAAGAGACTCAGAGACTGAGTCTTAATAAAGGCACAGCACCAGAGGGAACTCTTTCAAGACTTCCTTTTTCTTGGATTCTATGATATCAGTTGTTTTTTCTTTTGGACAGGTCCTCTTTAACTAAATGTACACTAAGAGAAATCAAGGTGAGAAGAGGAAAAAATTAAGTTTTTAAGCCCTACTTTTTTTCTAATGGTCAATGACACATTTCCAACAGGCCTTGCCCACACTCGGGTGTATGTGTATGTGGTGTGCTCCCTCACACTGAGACAGGACATAGGCAAAATACCCTTTGAGGCTCTACACTTGGATGATACTAGATAGGACATGAACCATGATGGGAAAACCACCCCACCCTTGCAAACTCTAGCTTGGTACCTAGAATGGATCCCAGGTCTTCAAGAGGAAGTTCTTCCCACCATGGGGACCAAGATGAAGCTAAAAAGTGCTAGGAGTGCATCTTTTACCCTCCCACATTATAGCAGGCTATACACTGTACTCTGGATTTCTATGCAGACAAGCTCCCCTAACAACCCATCCCAATAGAATGTGGCTTCTACTCACATCATCCTGGACATCAAGGTCACAGCCAGCCTTCAGCAAGATCTGGACCACAGAAAGATGACCCTTATTGGCAGCAAGATGAAGGGGGGTCCGGCCATGCTGTTAATGCAAAGCAAACACTTATTTCAGAATAGGACATCAAAACCACTGCGCTGGGGGTGCCTGGGTGGCTGTCGGTTGAGCTCCTGACTCTTGGTGTCAGCTCAGATCATGATCTCAGGGTCGTGGGATTGGGCCCCGCGTCAGGCTCTGGGCTCAGCATCGAGTCTGTTTGAGATTCTCTCCCTTTCCCTCTGCCCCTCCCCTGCTCATGCATACACACACACTCTCTCTAAACAAATAAATAAATCTTAAAAAAAAAATAACCACTGCTCTGGAGGGAGTGGGGGCCTAGAGCAAGGTTTACATAGTGGAAGCCCCCTTCCCCTTCAGTTTGGCAGGAGATTCTTATATATTTACTCAGAATTCAAGTTTGTCTCAGTTAACCTTTGTTATTGGCATTGTGATAAATGAATAAAATATGCTAAAAATGTGAAGATTTCCATCAGTGCATAATTTCTACTCCCCACTCAACAAACAAGTAGGAATATGAGGGGTTTCATGTTTTCTCTTATTTTCCCCCTGGTGCTAATACTCAAGCATGATGGAGTGGTCACAATGAATTGGGATAGGGCAAAAGATAGGAGAATAGTAAGAGGTCAAGCTAATCAGCCCAGAAAAATCTGGTTAGTAATTATTAAAAATTGAAACTACTGGCCAAACAGTTTTGAATAGGTTCTCCCTTTTTTATTTACTTATTTTTTATTTATTTATTTTAGTTCTCCCTTTTTTAAAACAAATTTTAATTTTTTTTTTTTAAGATTTTATTTATTTATTTGAGAGAGAGAGAATGAGAGACAGAGAGCAGGAGAGGGAGGAGGGTCAGAGGGAGAAGCAGACTCCCCGCCGAGCAGGGAGCTCGATGCGGGACTCGATCCTGGGACTCCAGGATCATGACCTGAGCCGAAGGCAGACGCTTAACCATCTGAGCCACCCAGGCGCCCTAAAACAAATTTTAAAATTACAACATACTTTAGCCATTCAAAAATATGAATAATATTTTAAATGTACATACCCACCAATCACTTTAAAACACCATAGATGTTCCTTGTGAACCCCTCCCAGATTTCATTTCCCTCCAGCTCCAGAGATAACCATTCTTAAATTTGGTATTCTTCATTCTTTTGCCATTTATTATATTTTACTACGCATTTATTGCTATAAATAATAACTAAACATTGTTTTGCTTACTTTAGAGCCTTACATAAATAGTATTAAACTTTTTATCACTTGGCAATTTTTTTGTCCAATGTTATAATTTTTAGATTTTTTTTTTTCATATTGTCACATGTAGTTTCGGTTCACGTATTCATTATTCACACATTCTCTACTGATGGGCATCCAGGTTCTTTTCGGTGGTTTGCAGAACACATTTGTGTGCACATCTCCCTGTGCATCTGAGGGGGCTTCGTAGCCCTATTGTTGGATCACAGAGATGACCATCCTTCAACAGCCCTATCTAATACACAGTCTCCTTGAGGTTATGACACGGGAGTAACATCCAGAATTACTCTCTTCGGTATAAATCAACTATCCGGAGAACTGACCTTGCCAAACTCCAAATTCCTCAAATTCTAAAGCAGACATTATGTTCCCTTTGCTTTCTCACTCAAGTTCACTGTGAAGAAATGTTCTCCCTCCTGCTTCAAAAATCATTTAGCCATGGCTCCCACCATGTTGAAACACACCCTCCGCATCTCATATGGGTCTCTTATTAAGGGAATAATAGTCTCTTAGGTCCTTCTAGCGCCTCAATAAAACTTTCCAAAGAGCTTTATTGATATTCTAGCAGGATACACCCATTTATGATCTCCATAAAGTGTCAGTTTGCCGTGGGTACCTAGCCATGGAGGAAAACAGAGATAGCAGACAATAAAGGATCTTAATTTCTACCCATGAAATGCAATCAAAGCATTAGAATGATTCTGTAAAGAGGTCAGAGCTCACTTTAAAATTAGAATTCGTAATTAAGAAAAAGGTTACTCCCAAGAAGGTGGGCTATAAAAAGTCTTCCTAAAAAGGTAATGTCTAAGAGAAGATGGAGTGACCTTCCTTGGCTAGCACTTGTCTCAGCACACATTGCTTAACCTTCATTCTTTCAGTGAAAAGTCCACAGCCGATCAGATGGAGCCAACTAAGTGGGTTCCGCTCCCTGGACCTGGTCCCAGGCTCCGTCTGTCATCACGTGTCCTTGTTGAGGACATCAGATAATGACCTTCACCAAGGTTCTAAGGCATTATGAAACACAGGGAAGTTTGTCATGTTTGTGAAGAGACAGATGAGTGTGCTGTTAGGAAGGCTGACAGGATGGTGGGACCCAAGTGCTTCTGAGCAACTGGAAAATATAAACCCTGATGGGGAGAAGTCACTGGAGAGAGCCTGGAAAGAGGACAAAGGACAAGGAGTCTCTGGGTGTCAGGTCAGGGGAGCCCGAGGAACATCCTCCTCAGCAACCAGATATGGCTGGTTGGACGTGGACACCCAAGGAGGTAAAAGGGTTTGCCCAAATGAACACAAATAATCAGAAGGCGGAAGGAAATGCTGCTGTGGTTTAAACCAGGTCACACCCGGGAGGGCGCTTTAGAAACTATAAATTAGTGACAAGATGGGCCTGGACTAGAGGCACCTTCCCAATCCAAAGTCAGCAGAAAATCCCCTCTGTGGCGAAAGGGCAGGCTGGAGGCACTGGCGCCTGACAAGCCCAGTTCAAATCCCGGCTCTGACTAATAACACCGGTGTGACTTTGTGCATGACACTCTCCTAAGCCCATTTTCTCACCTATAAAAGAGGAATAGCCGCCACTATCCACCCCATAAAAGCTTGAAATAGGATAAATGAGGTAATATCCACCAACTAAGATGGGTTTTCCTTCCCTCCAGCTGTCCTCACCCCTCACCCCTGAAGATACCCCAACTGTTCCCTCTCTTCTTTGACACCCCTGCTCCTTTGCCTTAGCAAAGACCAGTGGGGTATTTTTAATGGCAAACAGACCTGGGTGAAGGGTTGGAAATCAGATCACTTGGATAGCCAGATGGGCTCCAGCTGAAGGGTCAAGGTTCCTACTGGCCAGTCCTTTTTTTTTTTTTAAGGGGGAGGGGCAGAGGGAGAAAGAGAATCTTAAGCACGCTCCACACTCAGCACGGAGCCTGACATAGGGCTCGATCTCATGACCCTGAGATCATGACCTGAGCTGAAATCAAGAGTTGGACATATAACTGACTGAGTCACCCAGGCGCCCCTCCTACAAGCCAGTTTTGATCCACTTGTCCACTTCCATTTGAAATATAGCCCATGGTTTCCAGTTTCTGCATCTCTGCTGGATGGGCATTCTTCCAGGGAATGACCTTCTCCAAACTATGCCTTCTCTGATTCCCCAAGAAGCATTCCCTGGCTTATCTTCTCCGTTCCCACAGCACCTGAGCTTCCTCTTAGGAAACCACCACATTCTGTTTTGAGTGTCACCCTGGGCCCTGGCTTTTCCTTCCAACTGGGCCATGATCTGCCTGAGGGCAGGATTGTGCCTTCCATGAATGATGAAGCAAGTTGACTCTGGGGTGGAATGGGGCCATGTCAAAGAGGTGCCAGTGTTCCTCAACCACAGGCGGACTGAGGCTACCAGGGACACAGGAGCAAATTCCCAATTCCAGGCTTGACCTCAGAGAAACGGAGAGTCTAGGGGTCGCTGCAGACTCCAGGTTTTGGGATGCCCCAGCCCCTCAGAGGAAGTGTATACCTCTAGGGGCCGCATAAGTACTGCAGCAGGTGCAACAGTGACATGGGGAAGGCTGCAATTCCTAAGTGTGAGGGCGCAAATAATAACTGACCCTAAGAGGGGCCTCTGAATGACTTAAGACTCCAGGATGCAACTGCTCTCATCTTCCTGCCCGTAGGACTGGCCAATGAAAGAAATGGGAAAAGGAGAAAAGACTGTCAACTATGAATGATAACAGGAAGAAATTTTTGAAGCATCCATTTGTCCTGGGACCTCCCCCAATTCAATGACTAGTTCAAGTTAACTCAACCTGGGCCCTGGAGGGCTCAGGGAGACCACTAATAATAAGGACAAGAGGAAGAAACAGCCGCAGCTAACATTTATGGGATACTTACTATGTGATATCTTAAGAATTTTACATGTATTAGCTCATTCAATCCTCCCCACAACCCTATGAGGTAGGCACTATTTTTAAGATGAGGAATTTCCATTTTACAGATGACAAAACTGAGGCATGGAGGGACCCTGTCACTTTTTCTATGTCATAAAGCAAGTAATTTGAGCCTGGATTCACCCCTAAGCCATCTGATTCTGGCCCCCACGTTCTGACCCACAATTCTACCTGCTGCCCCCTTTCTGGCGGTGGGGAGCTCTCTCCTGGCAGAGGGGTTTCATCTCTTACTGTTAGGAAGCTCCCAAGACTCCCAGATGATGACCTATGGAAATAACCTGGTTTCCTTAGAATCTCAAGGACAAGGATAGAGGTTTTCTATTCTCACCATACATCGAATCACTTGGGCAGGTTGGTCTGTTTGTCCATCCACCTATATTGACACTTGAGCCCCTCCACCAGAGTTTCTGACTCCACTCTCTGTTGTGGGGCCCAGGCATCTGTGGTTATACACCCTCCCTGAGTGATTCTAATGAATGACCCAGGCTGAGAACCATAGGACGAGATGAAGAGGGGCCAGGATAATCCTCTCCAGGGAAGCTATAGGCCCTCAGGTGAAACCTGCCATGTCGGGCCTGTCCAAGCAAGAGTCATTCCTCTAGCTACATTCTTTATGATGCTCTCAACCCCACCTGTCAGTACAAAACACTAAAATACTGCACCACCACAGCCCAGAGTTTCTGCTTCTTAAAAGAGTATGTGAGCAATATAATGACACTACTAAAAATCTGGAAAATAAAAAATCTGTAATTCTACCACCCAATACAACTATTATCATTTATTTTATTTATGAGAGAGAGAGAGCTCTCAAGCACAGAGGGGAGGGGAGGGGAGGAA